CCTGGCCACCAAAGCACCTGCCAGCAAAGCCCACCAAGGGGTCAGTCAGGCAGAAGGGGCCCTCAGGGTCCCCTCACCTGCAGGAGGCCAGGCAGATTGGCCCCCAAAGCCCTGATGGAGGGGCAGCACCGAGGGACAGGCACGTACCGGATGACGAAGGCCAGTGGCTCCCGAGGCACCTCCCTGTTGAGGAAGAAGCGCAGCCCCTCAAAGAGCTTCTTGTGCTTCTCCAGGGCCTCCTGCTCCTTCTTCCTTGCGTCCATCTGCTCTGCAGTCTCCTGCTCAGAGTGAAGTATTCAGCCTCCTCCCCAAGAGCAGCCCCTGCCAAGCCCCTGTCTGCATGGTGCCAGCCCCATCATGCTCCCAGTCCCTCCCAGCACCACACCAGCCCCTGCCAGGCACAAACCTACCCCAGATAGGACCCCCCAAGGCCAGGGCTGAGCCCCACCATCAGGCTCTTACCCCCTCCACTGGGAACTCATCCAGCTCCACCTCCTCCTCGTGGGTCGGTGCCACCACCCGGGCCAGGCTGGAGCTCAGAGCAGACAGCTTCTGCAGCAGGAGGAGACAAGGAGGGTCAGGCCCAGCCAGAGCTTTGGAATGGGAAAAGGAACAGCCTCACGGGCGAAGGAGCTTCTCAGACCACGAGGTCACAAGACTAGACAGATATTCAGTCTTCTCCATGTACTGTCCCACCCCAGGTCCCCCACCATGCAGAAGGGATGCCGGTGACCCCCAAAGCCAAGCACGGCTCCTCCCTTGGCCAACAAGGAGTTTGGGACCAGCCTCCTCCACCACGCAGGGGTCTGGCTCTGCTCCTCAGTCCCCACCCGCCGAGTGCCCCACACCAGGAAGAGGTGTGGGGTCAGGACACGAAGACCATGCAGGATCCTCCCATGGAACACGGTGACAGCAGTGTCCCTCACCTCCAGGTAGCTCTCTGAATCCATGGCGTATTCCTTGCCTTCTGCAGGCTTCAGCTCAGCATCAGCCTGGCCATCGATCTGGGGGGAGAAACAGGGATGTGGGGGGCAGCTCCCAAATTCCAGAGGTCCCCAAACACCCCCTGACCCTCCAACACAGCCTCGCTTCCCACCATCCCGAGCCGGGAGCAGCCGGTGCCTCACCTTGGGTGGGTAGAGCAGGTTGAGGGACTGGTAGAGGCGGAAGTTGACAAAGCCCAGGAGCGTGGTGTAGAACTCGGTGAAGGTGGCCATCACCCGGTAGTCCACGTCCGTGGGGTGCTGTGGGCACGGGGTGGGGGGTGTGTGTGTGAAGACACAGGGACAAAGGAGCAGAGTCCCCTCTGCAGGGACAGGGCCCCGTCCATCTGCATGGGGAGGACCTGTGCCCTTCACAGCAAGCTCTGGAGATCAATGGCCATCAGCAGAGGATGGGTGGGTAAAGCTGCCCAGGCTGTCACACAGGGCTCTGCTGCCACCCCTCCATGAAGGGACTCATTGCATTGATGGATCCCCTTATCCCGTCATGGCTAGGGACCTTGGGGGCTTGGTGCAGGGACTCCTTGGTGCAGGCCATGGCAAAGCTGGACAAGAGCAGGACAAGGAACCAAACCTGACAGAGACCCAGCCAGACCCACAAGAGCCAGAAGTCAAGGGAGGGAGAACTAATGCTGCCTGGGAAGGAAGTGGGTTGGCCAAGGAGATGCTGTGGAGCAAGCTGGAGGGGTGAGCCAGGGGAAACACAGTAAGCTGGGAAGCCTCAACCCAACTGTGCCAAACCCAGGGGTGAAATGAGAGGGTCCTGCCTAGCAAGGGGAATAGTTCTAAAGTGCCAGAGGCGAGATTGAGATGAGCTCTGAGGCAGAAGCTCTTCCCTGTGAGGGGGC